CCTGGAACCATTCGATGTTTTCTTTCTTCTAAAATCTTCTTTTTTCAGCCCCAAAAAAGGGTAAATAAAAAATCAACAATAACCGACGGAATAAAAAGAGGCAAAAAAAATAATCCATCTTCACCCATGGAGGGCTCCGCGCAGACTGAGCTCTCCAGTGCGGGGGAAGGCTTATCATGCCTTGCCCCGCCCTGCAGTTAGGCTCAGAGCACTCTGATTGGTGGGTTTATGCCATCCAATCAGAGTGTTCTGACAGGTAAATGAAGAGACTGACAGGTAAGTCTCTACATTTACCTGTCACAGCAGGTAATTTTCCCACCCTGTGTAATTTGACTCATAACACTCTGATTGGTTACTTAATTTGACTCATAACACTCTTATTGGTATTTAGGACCCCCACCCGCCACTCGGGGTGGGGGCCAGGGGGGAGGACCTTAGGCCCCCCACTTATTAGTATTTAGGGCCCCCACCCACCGCTCAGGGGTGGGGGCCAGGTGGGAGGACATTAGGTCCCCCCTTATTCCAATTCAGGGCCCCCACCTGCTGTTTAGGGGTGGGGGCTACGAGGGAGGACATTAGTATTTAGGGCCCCCAACCACCGCTCAGGGGTGGGAGCCAGGGGGGAGGACATTAGGTCCCCCTTATTATAATTTAGGGCCCCACCCGCCGCTCAGGGGTGGGGGGCAGGGGGAAGGACATTAGGTTCCCCCCTAATTAGTATTTAGGGCCCCCACCTCTGCTCAGGGGTGGGGGCCAGGGGGGAGGACATTAGGTCCTCCCTCTTATTAGTATTTAGGGCCCCCACCCACTGCTCAGGGGTGGGGACCAGGGGGGAGGACATTAGGTCCTCCCCCTTATTTTACTGTAGGGCCCCCACCCACCGCTCAGGGATGGGGACCAGGGGGAGGACATTAGGCCCCTCCTTATTATAATTTAGGGCCCCCACCCCCTGCTGACAGGTAAGTCTCTACATTTACCTGTCACAGCAGGTAATTTTCCCACCCTGTGCAATTTGACTCATAACACTCTGATTGGTTACTTAATTTGACTCATAACACTCTTATTGGTATTTAGGGCCCCCACCCGCCGCTCAGGGTGGGGGCCAGGGGGGAGGACCTTAGGCCCCCCACTTATTAGTATTTAGGGCCCCCACCCACCGCTCAGGGGTGGGGGCCAGGTGGGAGGACATTAGGTCCCCCCCTTATTCCAATTTAGGGCCCCCACCTGCCGTTTAGGGGTGGGGGCCATGAGGGAGGACATTAGGTCCCCCCCTTATTAGTATTTAGGGCCCCCAACCACTGCTCAGGGGTGGGAGCCAGGGGGGAGGACATTAGGTCCCCCTTATTATAATTTAGGGCCCACACCCGCCGCTCAGGGGTGGGGGGCAGGGGGAAGGACATTAGGTTCCCCCCCTAATTAGTATTTAGGGCCCCCACCCTCTGCTCAGGGGTGGGGGCCAGGGGGGAGGACATTAGGTCCTCTCCCTTATTAGTATTTAGGGCCCCCACCCACTGCTCAGGGGTGGGGGCCAGGGGGGAGGACATTAGGTCCTCCCCCTTATTTTACTGTAGGGCCCCCACCCACCGCTCAGGGGTGGGGACCAGGGGGAGGACATTAGGCCCCTCCTTATTATAATTTAGGGCCCCCACCCCCTGCTCAGGGGATGGGGCCAGGGGGGAGGACATTAGGTCCCCCCTTATTTTACTGTAGGACTCCCACCTGGCGCTCAGAGGTGGGGGCTGGGGGGGCAATAGGATTTTATTTTATTTTTTAACATTGAGCAGCCACAGGCTGCTCACTGTTTACTAGACATGCCCCTACTTGCGGTATAGCGAGTAGGGGCAAAATTTACTAATACTAAGTCATTTTTACTTAGTATTAGTAAATTTGGCTGAAAGACCAATTTAGGTCTTTCAGCCTTTTGGTAGATAACTCCCTAATACCATGGGAATTAGGGAGTTATCTACTAAGCGGCTTCAAAAGAAGTCCTGAAGTGACGAAGTCCCGAAATTCCGAAATGCCGAAATTCCGAAGTGTCAAAGTGCCGAAGTGCCGAATTTCTGAAGTGCCGAATTGCGAAAGTCACGAATTTCGGAAAGCTGAACCAAACCGAAAATTTTCCCCATGTACATGACTAATACGTACAAGTAGCACTTTACTATTTCCAAATAATTTTTTTTCAAAATTAACGCAAGTTACATTGTAACACTGATATCTGTCATGAATCCCTGAAAAAAAACATTCACATGTACATATTTTTTTTTAAAAGAAGACAACCTAAGGTGTTAAACTTGGGGTATTTTGACTCTTTCCATACTATCATTTTACAACTAATCTATGCCAAATTAAAAAAATGAAAAATAATTGGTGATTTATTTGACACACGTAGAAATTTAAGAATACATATACTGAGGGTTTAAGGGTTACTGCCAAAGATCACCCTAATATGTGTTCAGCGACATCTCCTGAGTACAGTGATACCACCAGGGCCGGACTGGGGATACAAAGCAGCCCTGGAAAAAATGTTTTGCCAGCCCCATAAGTCACTGCGCCATATATTGTCGCGTGTAATATGTAAGGCTATGTCTCGCCAGACAGATGATTGAGTATTATATATATATATATATATATATATATATATATATATATATATATATATTGCTTTTTCTAATATAAAAATATTGGTCCTTTTCTGTGTTTAATTATACAGTAAGCATACGCACATGCAGACACAGGCAATTTCACTGACATTTCAGTGACACACACAAGCTCATTGATACACAGCCTCATTGACATAAAAACACAAGCTCACTCACTAGCAGGCACACACATGCAAGCAAGCTCACTCACTAGCAGACGCACACACACAGCTTAATGTGGTGGTACTGGTGTCTATAGCATGTCCCTACAGGTTTTTCAATGTAAACACTGACTTTTCAGAGAAAAGGCAGTGTTTACATTGCTTCAAAGTGACACTGCTAGTGACAGTCACTCAGACGGTCACTAGAGGTGCTTCCTGTATATGCACCAGATTCAGCTCCACACCTCCGTGGGTACCCAACGCCCCCATGAGATGATGATCCACCACCCCAAGGAGATGCCAATTGGAGTGGCTGCAGCCAATCCCAAGATTGATTAATTGAGATCATCAAGCTTGATGATCTCAGCTATAGAGGCAGGGCCAGTCGAGGGGAGACCAGCACGCTGCGTGGGGGGAAAAAAGGTGAGCAAAAACACTATTTTTAAACACACATTTACACCATGACAGACACAGAAACACACATATACCATGACAGATACACACCCCATGATAGACACACACACATACCATGACAGACCTTGACACAGACAGACACACACACCATGACACAGACACACACACCATGACTGACAGACAGACACACACACCCCATGACGGACAGACAGACACACACACACCCCATGACAGACAGATAGACACACACACACCCCATGACAGACAGACAGACACACACCCTATGACTGGACAGAGACAGATTATCACCACACACCATAGACAGACACCATGACACGACAGACACACACACCACAGACAGACACCATGACACAGACAGACAGACACACACACACACACCGTACAGACAGACAGACACCATGACACAGACAGACAGACAGACACATACACACACACCATACAATGAGAGAGAATGTGACAGAAAAGTGGTGAATACATGGAGTGGAATCCCAGAGGTGGGACAAGCTAGAAGAGTAATGGGATTAACATATGCCCTTTTCCTGGTATTAAAAAATCCCAGACTCTATAACAGACAGCAACTAAATCTTTTAAAGAAAGTTTATTCATACACACATTTTAACATCTCTGAGCGAGATACTCTCTTACCCCCCTTAACCCCAATGTAATACACAGAGGGGTGGTGGGTGGGGGAGGGTGAATGTCCTTTGATGATTCAGTTGATGAAAACACCTAGAGAAAGGAATGTAACTAAACCGGACTCGTTCCTGCCCCTGCCCTAGGGCAATGGTCTTGACAGATCAGTGACAGGCACGTTGTCACACTGCAAAGCAGACAACAGAAAGGGAAAACTATTTGCAAAAAATACTAACATAATGGCACCGAAAAAACAACCACTGCAACACCAGCAAAGGAATCTAAACTACCAGGGCCACCAGCACAAGCAAGCGTGGACACACACACACTGACACACACTGATGTTACTACTAGAAATCCCTCAATATTAATACAGACAACGTAAACACCAATAAACTGTGGAAACAGAGCTGATCCCCCAAATTTATAAAGATTTGCTTAGTGGATTTGTTGTAAGATTAAATCATGCCTCCTCCTCTCTCTCTCCCATGCGCTGCTCTGTAAGCTGGGAGGAAGTGAAGAGTAATCACATCTCCTCAGCACAGTGGCACCTGTGGCTGCATGGGGAACAGCTGAATTTGCCACCCCCATGTGACATCACAATGCCCCACCCATATGATCTACCATATGAACTAACGCCAGTGCTGCACACAGTGTGTGTTTACATTACAAAGCTTGCAGGAAACCTGCTATAGACACCAGAACCACTTCATTAAGCTGAAGTGGTTCTGGGGACTATAGTGTCCCTTTAATGTGAGGTAAATTATAGATTAGTGTCACTAATAATATACTAGATTGCCTACTTACCACCAGATGAGGATGATGATGGGCTGCAGTCTGGCTCTACTGGTCTGGTGTAGAACAGGATCTCTGGAGGCTGTTTGCAATGTGGTCACAAAATTCAATGTTTGGGAGAATTGGAAGCAGCTCCATTTTTTGGGGGCCCTTACACAGCTCAAGGTCTGAGCCCCAGGGCCTGACAATGAGTATGCCCACAAGGCCCACTCATAAATCCACTTATATGTTCCACCCACCCATGAGTTCGCTCACAGGGAGTGGAGTGTGTAGGGGATGTGTTATGTGTTATTGTAGAGGATCTAATATGTGTGTGCTTATGGTATGTAGTGTATAGGGATACCAGTTTGTGTAGGTGATGCAGTGTGTTTGTGTGTAGTGGAAGCAGTGTGTATTTGTGTATAAGGGATGTATTGTGTGTTTCTGGTTGTGTGTAAGGGATGCATTGCGTGAATCTGTGTTTGTATGCATAAGGGATGCAAGGTGTGTGTCTGTATGTGTGTGCATTGAGTGTGAGTAAGAGATGCATTGTGTTTCTGTGTGTATGTGTGTATGTATGTAAGAAAAGCAGTGTGTGTGTTTGCATGTGCGTGTAAGGGTTTGCATTGTGTGTTTCTATGTATGTGTGCAAAGGATGCATTGTCTTTGTGTGTACGGGTTGCATTGTGTGTGTGTAATGGATGCATTGTGTGTTTCTCTGTGTGTAATGGAAGCATGTTGTGTTTTTCTGTGTGTAGGGATGCATTGCGTGTTTCTGTGTATGTATAGGGATGCATTGTGTGTGTCTGTGTGCGCGTAGTGTGAAAGAGCTCCCTGTCTTGCCCCCTGTCCTATAGAGCTGTCCCTTCGAGCTCTCCCCTGCCCCTTAGTGGTCTCTCCTCTCCCCCACCCTCCCCTAGCGGTCTCTTGTCATCCCCCACCCTCCCCTAGCGGTCTCTTGTCATCCCCCCCTCCCCTAGCGGTCTCTTGTCCTCCCACCCTCCCTGTGTTCTTCTCATTCCCCCCATTCTCCTCATCTCCCCTTCTCCTCACCCTTACACTCTCCCCCTCCTTGTGTTCTTCTTACCCCCTCCTTCTCTTACCCCCATCCCTCCACCCTCCCTCCCCACTTTTTACCCCCCCTCCCACCTCCTTCCTTCAATTCCCCCCTCCCCTCACCTACCTCCTTCAGTTACTCCCTCCCCTCCCTCGTGGCGAGCTTCATTGGTGCCAAGGGAAGGAAGGTGCATGGGTGCACTTCCTGTCAGTCCAGCCGGGTACAGGAAACAGAAACTCCTGTTGTTTCTGTTTCCTGTACCACGCCAGACTGACAGGAAGTGCACACTGAGTGTGCACCTTCCTATCGCTCCGGCCAGGCACCGCGGACTGGAGAGGAGCTCGGCCACGCTACAGGGAATGGAGAAGCAGCTGGAGCCGCCTGAGGCTCTTAACAGCGCTCAGGCGGCTGCAGCATTAGGACCGGCCTTGCAGCGGCCGGTCTTAAAATAATTTAGGGCGGCCTGGCGGGGCAATTGCCTCCCTGCCCCCCGGCCCAGCCTGCCCCTGATAATACATATTTGAACATGTAAAACGTGGTACATATACGTATATGTACATAAAAAAATTGGATGTTCCTCACCCTTCCAGTGAGAATAGACTGACATGAACCCAAATCTAAGTGTCAAGTAAGGGTTCAGAACCGCTGCTTCCTCCGATGCATTCTTGCACTGGCCTGACAAGTCACTATTGTGCACATATTGAAGATTTCCATGTGTTCACATGGAAGCAAACAAAAGAAAAAAGTAAAACTTACAGTATACATTACTATGGAAGGTAATGTGTCTTACCAGAAGTTTTACTCTGTATGTAGGATGTCCGGGTGCTTCTGGGACACTATAGGCACCCAGGCAACTTAATTTCCATGAAGTGGTCTTTGTGCCATGCCCCTGTAGTTTTAACTATACAATTGAAAACATTGTTTCCTCGTGGGGATACATTGGAATTGCTGATATTAGCTACACTAATGTGTAGTGCAAAAGAGGTGGAGAGGCAAGATGCAGATCAGTGCAGCATAAGCTTAAAGGTAAGTTAAGCAAACCTTTCAAACCCTCGCACAGCAGAGGGGGAGACTACATAGCATTTATATGAATACATGTTCGTACTCCAAAACCAACAGTGCTCTTTTAAATATTACTTATAAAACATCAAAATAATAAAGTTTTATAAACTGACATATCTAATGTGCGGATAGTTATTTGGAATAATTCATATAATGTACACAAAGTTATGTATTGTGCAGGGGTAGTCTAAACTTCTATCCCTTTAATTGGATTAATTGCTAAGAGAATGACAATACAATATTCAGCCATGACCAATCAGCTGGACAAGAGGACAGGAAAGTGCAGCGTTCAGCTTCTTGTTGGGCCCCAAAGACTGAGATACTTTACGTATTGCGATATCTCCCTCCAGACTCCAAACCATTAGCGCTGGCATTGTACGATC